TTCTAGGTACTTGAACTGGAACTCCTTCTAATATTTTATCCAGTTAACATCTTGTGTTTCTTTTTCATTTTGCCCAGATGTTATTTCACTCTGATAGACTGCATTTCCATTGTCTTGTAGTTTGGAAGTGTTTGTGTGTCAGGAGGGTTGCGGTGCCTTTGTCTGCTTGTAGGGAAGGGGGGCCTTGTCCTATTATTTAACCCAAGCCATCAGTCACAGTCAACAAGCCTATCATATAGAACCATTCAGTGGCTGTGGAGGCTAAAGTTAGCACTATTATCTGCCTGTCACTGGCTAGCTGTGTCGAAGTCCCCTGTGGAAAACCAATTGTATGAGTGAATGCCTTGCTGCTCCCGTCGTCAAGCTCCAGGGATGCTCATGGCGCCTCCAAAGAGCACTCTCTGTTTATCCACAGTCTTCACACCATTCAACACACATTATGAAAGTCCAAGTTTGACTTTTTCGGGCGGTGTGTTATTATTATTTTGACCACCCTCAAAAGTTCAGAAGCCCGGTCTTTATTTCTAAAAAGGATGGATTATCTTACTTCCCACCTTCCCTGATTTTTTTTTAAGCAAGTAATCTTAAATCTTAATGTATACAGTGGCTCTGCCCCATTAGTGATGACATTATATGAACCACTTCATTTGCATGAACATAGTCTCATAACTCAGCAGGCCCTCCCCCATTGCTACGATAAGCATCTGGACATGAAATAGTTTAAAAATCGCAGACACGTACTTAACCCAGCAACACAATCCCAATTCATTACATGCTTTTATGTGGGAGGGACTTGTGCAGGCCTGATGGGTAATATCATATGTACTTAGTACACACCCGTCAGATACACAGAAGATTGAGTTTCACTTTGTTGCGGTAGTATTGTCTCAATCGCTTGGATTCATGGACATCATCTTGGGTTTCCTTAGGTCAGGAAGTGACGGAGGGAGAAATGCCCTGAGATTGGTAAACACCACAGCATTCACCAAAAAATAAGTAAACTATTGAAACGTGTGGCCAAAGCTTTGAGTTGATCCTTAAGGTGAGCTTTCAATTGTTAATTAATGAGTTAAATAATTTTGACTGATGTCTGCCTTCAGTTTGAGTTATCAAGATTATTATATTGTTGTTTGGTTCCAGCAGCGTACAAAAACTTTTTTTGTTCTATTGAATATTTATATATCTTGATTAATCATGATTAACTGATTAATTTACACCTACCCTGTGATTATTAAAAAATATTAATAATAATATATAATTATAATAAATAAAATTGTAACCGCCCTTGTTATAATATATGTATATTCCTATCCAGCCCTGGTATTGAAGAAATATGGGTAAAACAAAAAAACTGTTATGTGGTCAATAGATGTCTGCTAACAGTGTGTGTAATATTCCTGTTAATTGTATCTGTCCCAGTGGGGTTTAAATTGGAGGGTTTTAGTATTGTGGGTTTGTCACCAATCAATAACTTGGGTTTCCTGGCAACATCGGATTTACTGGATTTTGGTGTCAGCGTGCAGAAATACTTATTTTTCAAGTGTTTCATGCACAAAGGTATATATGATTACAGCTGTTCACTTTGTTCAAACTGTACGTCCTTCTGTATGACATTGTAACATTGTTTTTCTTATTTAAATGAAATGATTTCCATGTTTTTCATCTTCAACAATTCTCATTATTTCTTTACCCTCACATATGGTACCTGCATATGAAAAACAAATCAAATACATATTTGTTGTGTATTTTTATATGGAAAGCAATGTAAGCAACCTGTAAAACAGCTGGCACAGAGTAGCTTAGAATCGCTCATACTGTAATGTTCGAATGAAGAAAACGTAGAATCTACTGTATGTATATGGAGTCAGTAAGGCGAGTTAAGGAGAAGGATTCTACATGTCATAGCACCGTGCTGTGGTAATGTCAAACAGAAGTCTATAAGGAATCTTCTTCTGCTTCAAGTCCCATCATTTTTAATTTCAGGTGTTAGGTTTCGCTGCATGTCTAATTACAGTATAACACATTTGACTCTGGCCCAGCATCACAACACTTTAATTAGCAGCAGTGTAAGAACAGTAGGGTGTGTAAGTAAATAATTATTTTTTTCTGACTTTTTGACGTGCCCCAAGGTAATAATTCAAACATTATTAATTACCCCTCCCCTTTATATTCAGGGGGACCAACATGGATTACTTGAATAACGTCCACTTCCCCTCAACACTTCCTCACGGCATGCCGGCACACACAAAATCAACAACAACGTTGACGATTATATTGAAAGAAAGTTTGTTTGCGTGAAAACTGTGTGGCAGTAATGAAGAAGTCTGCTTGATGTGGTTGAGAACAGACGCCGCCGTCGCTGCTAGACCTTGTAAATGTTGGCCAGCTTATCTGAGAGAGTTATCCTAAATCCCCCTCTGAACAAGTACCCTTGAAACGTCAGCACCATAATGTATCATAAGACTCCTTCTGGAATACAAGCCGAGTTGGCAGAGCCGGACTACGGCTGTGTCTTTCATTTGTTTGCTTCTTTTCCTCCTCTTCTTCTCCTCCTCTCCCCTCTCACTGAACTCAGTCCAGCCAGTTCTCATAAATATGTATTGTAGTGGTGCGTTCAGTGGCTGCTTGGTTGCAGTTCATGTTACCGTAGCCCACTTGTGTTGTGAGAGCAAATTAACAACTGTACTGGTGAAGTGTTCATTTAATGTGATAATTTCTAACTAACACCTGTGCCAGAGCTGCTGCCTTTATGGGCCGTGGTGTGAGAGACGTGACACACACACACACACACACGCGCGCGCTCGCACACACACACTCACATGTATGTACTGCCTATAGAATATTTTCTGCTAAATATTCTGCTAAATATAACTCAAAATTGTGGATAAAAAAGTGGATACATTCAGTGTATACAGTTGTATACCCAAGGCCTCATGGGTTGAAGGATTGGGCCTGTAATTGGAGGATGGCCTGGTACCGCTGTGGTGTGTTTAAGCACCACAACTTTCCTATATTCCATGGGGCACACAGAGAGTTTCGTTCTCCTTTGGTTTGAAAGAGTTTTCCTGATGATGAGAAGAAAATTCACACCTCATACTGCGCGTCACAGAACTGTGCCACCTGCTGTACGTGTATATAACACTGACTTCCGGTCCATTGCATTTTTATTGATAGCCAACCTAAAGAACTGTATAGTTGAGGAATAATCATTTTATTTGGGGATCTATGTCTTTGGTTTTTGTCACTCATTCCTGTTTTGACGTCATGTATGATTTGGCTGTGAAGCCTTTTCCACTGTGTTTTATTTAAAGGCTGCGTTTACTCACCAGGATGTAACTTTGATCACACATACACACACCCAGACACACGCTGTCACGTACATATTTTGAATTCCCATTGGGCCTGTCATTGTGTATAAAAATGAATTATTTACCCAAGGAGTCTAGTCAACAGTGCAGGGGAGTGTGTTTTACTCAGTTCATTGAAATTCCAGCTGCTTTTTTTAGGTCATGAACTTTGTCACCATCTCCGTGACTTCCTTGTTTTACCACTGTTGTTATATTAGGGATAAAGAGACACAGTGTTGATAAAGGAATGATGATAACATATTCAACATATTCAATATTTCTCCCTTAATTTGATTTCAAACTCAGAGCACCACCTTATTTTATGTGGCCCACCAGAGTTGACCATGTTTTAAATAAAACTTTAGTCCATAGTGTGTGGCAATTTTTTATTTGTTTTACTGAGGACAAAGTCGCTGCAGTCTGTTAAAATGTAATATTACTTGTGAGAGCATTGTCAGCACTAGACTTGAAGAACTGTTAATCCTCTTTGGCCTCTAACTTAGACACTATTTTAATTTTGGGCCTGTTGAGTGATTGAGTTTGACAAGCCTGATTTACATCTTTATCACCAAGTATAGAGACTGTAGTCTTTCTTTGAATAATGTAATAATTCCAGATTAAATGTCTGACGACAGGAAATAAGTAGAGTGGCTACAGTAGCCTGAGCGCTAATGTACTTTTACTTAGCCTTTTATTAGAGAGTAAGAGTAAAGCTCATCAAGACCAGCAGTTGAACAAAGAACCCGACTCTCATCCACATCACACTTCTCTCTATAATAAAACTCTTCACACACCACTTTGGTGAGCATTTACACATCAAAAGTGTTAGTTTCACAGCAATAACAAGATGAGGTCGTGGAAATCACATCCAATGTTTGTCGCTCGCTTTACGTTAACCAGAAATAGTTTGGCGATGACTCCACGGATAACGGCGGCTCCATGAGCTCATGAGCCGGGGTCGGTGGGTCGGTGGGGGGGGGGCACCTCCGGCTCATTCATCTCTGTATGTGGTTAGACTCTGTTGTCGACTGGAGCCTTGGACGTGTGCCTGCGAGCACAGTAGTCGTCACCAACAGGTGTAAAAACTCAAACTGTGAAGTTGTGGCACATGCCTACAGGAAAGGGAAAACACCGCCGGGCTTCAGATGTCAATTAGCATCAGGTCACACACGTTCTGGACAACATATGCGAGTGAAGGAAGATGCACCACATACAGCATACTCCACACGCACACACCTCGTAGTCTGCAGGACCCAGAGCAGTGTGCGCTTCATCGCTCACTCCCCGTCTCTCTGTGGGAGTGATTTGTTGTGAAGCTGGGGGAGGCAACACTTGGATGAGCAAACAACAAGAGAGGATCCAAAAATACTTTTTGTGTTTCACACGGTCTTGGTGTTTGGTTGATCACACCCTCGCTATGAGCACAGCTGACTGGAGATTGAACAACGTGCACTGAGCAACTTGATGACAACTTGAAACCCACAGTGCCATAAGGCCTGTGCGTAAGGATGACAAAAGCAGGGTGCATCCATCTGTTGTGTTTCTTCATCCTGGGAAACCAAGAAAAGAACACTTTTCAACTAACTGTGAGAAAATGAGCAGAGCATAATTTTTTAAATGACCTTTTTTCCGTTTATTCTTTTTTTGTTACAGATTTTGCCACCAGCTCTGAGCAGTGAACTTGTGGGTTTCCTGTGAAGAGTGGCCGCAGCATCCAGTTTCCGGCGTTTGCCGTGGAAACACTGAGCACTGAACTCAACAGGAAGCTTCAGCAGGGGGCGGTAAGAGGAGGAGGCCATGTGGACCGCACGCCTGCTTGTTCTCGCCTGCCTCTTTGCACCAGCCGCTATGGGTAAGTGTGGCTTCGTTAGGGCAAGCATGTGTTGTTGTTGTTGTTTACGTGCAGATGTAGTTCTGTGACTGCTTTGATTTGAAGTCAGATCAGAATGTCATCCATATTCTCTGTGTTTTCTAAGCGGCAGCTTCTGTCAGCCCACTGTGATTAAAGCAACTCCAACTTTGTTTGACTCATTTCCATCTAGCACCAATCGCTAATTAGCAGTTTCTCTTTTACTTCCTAATCTTTTTTTTACACATCCGTCTTCTTTCGTCTGTGAATTTTCTCTGATATTTTACATCTATTATTAGCTCTGTCCCTCTTTCTCCTGGCTCTGCCTCCTGGCAATAAGAAATAAAGTGAAATTACATTCAAAGAATCATTAACACCACTTTGGCTCTGTGGTGTATGTTAAAGAGAGTGCGAATTACAGGCAGGAGAAAATAAATGTTATTTTATCATTTCACACACTTGCTTTCTAAGATTAATTTGCAAGGTCATTTGTTTCCCACATCTCGGTCAGCGGAAACTAATGTGTTTTTTTTTTTTCTTTTTTTAATGCATTGTTTCAGAGGCAATTTAAATTAAGTAATTTAAATTTAAATTAAAAGAAGTAAATGTTGTTGGTTGGGTGGTTTATGTGTGTGTGTGTCTGTGTATGTGTGTGTATAGATTGGTCGCTCGGTCACAATCAACCAGTTTAGATGTGCAGAGTGTTGGGAGTGGAGCAATGGCCCATAGAATGTTAATTTGATATGGTTTAAACCATTAATAGGAGCTTTGGAGCTAATTGAATTGTTTTGTTTTTTTTTCTTTTTGGAGCGCTGTGATTTCTACAGAACACAGCGTTGTCTGTGTTCGCCATCTGCTCCTAATGAAAACACACTTCTCCAACATTGTTAGCTCTGCGTTAATGCTCAATAAAAGGGTAAAAAATAGACTTGCTGACAGATGTAAGTCATGGTTTTTTTCTTTAAAGCTCTACTGAAGTGTTCAGAAGATGAGGGATTCTGAGGTGGCAGACCTAATCCTAATCCTGACTGCTTCCTGTTATTGTCCCACATCAGGATTTTGTGATTACAACAACAGTGTCACGTCAATTGAATTAAGATGGTATTTTTTACATGATGATAACTTTAAAGTAACCTAAGCTGTTGTTCAATTAATTAATTTATTATTATTGTATTTTTACCAATAGTTCGGGTTTTCACTTTTTTAACCCTGGAGGTTGCTTGGTAGTTTGTAGGATGTATTTTTCTTCAATTTCTCTTAGATCCTTTTAATTCTCATCTTACAGTATAGCTTATAAGATGATGATATGTACATTTATTTTGTATATTGCTAGCATTATTACCTTCAGGGTCAGAATGTACATTTATTTTGTATACTGCTAGCATTATTACCTTCAGGGTCAGAAAACATTAACTTTGTCATTTCCTTTAACTTTTTAGAAGACCTTGATAAAAATTTGAATCATGCATTTGATTTTGTTTTATTTTAAGAGATTATTTTTCTTTGACAAATGTGAAAAGTTAAAATCATGGAATATTATGTTGCTAATCTCATAGTCTAACTGCCTAAGTCAAGATGTAAAAAAAACCACAAAACGCTCTTTTCAACATCTGTAATATTGTAATTGAAACAATAAGTTTAACGACTGGATGTATAAACATCTTGTGCGTCAGTGACATAAGGACATTAGAGCTAAATCTGAATTTGGCCAAAATATGACATCCTGCTATGAGGCTAATGATGGAAACACTCAGCAAACTGCCTCTGATTGTTGTCACTGTCTGAGTTTGCAGCTTCTGTTTTGGCCTCGATTTCAGACGTTGTTCACTCAGTCTTTTAATAAGAAATCTATTGGCCTCAAACACCACTGGTACAAAAACATTTAGGAATGTCCTGGGATTAGAGAGCCACTTATTGATGCCCCACTGGATGGACAAACATTAACTGCAGGATAAACAGCCAATTGCAAGGTGTCAAAGGGGGAAGGATGCTGTTTGCTTTAAAGAGGAGAGACCTTTAAGAAATGTTGCTCAAGTGTGTGTGTTGGTGTGTTTGTGTTTGGAGAGGCTATGACAATATATTTAAAGATAGCAAGCTGTGGGGACTTGATTTTTCCGCCATCCAGGCTGCAGTCGCTCGTTCATGTCAGTATGGTATGCAGAAGTAGAAAAAAAACCAGGTAATCATCAGTCTTAGGACGGAGAATGTGGTCATTGGCACTGCATGCACAATTTGTCATCAAAGGTAAACACACAAAAGCACCTGCACAAGACCTTTAAGTCATCATCTCGCTTTGTTACCTCTGCCCTAATAATCAATCAATCATTGATCCCAGAGGAACCGCTGGTGTCAAGCTGACAAACCTGCTGGCTGCTGTGCTTTTTCATGCTCTAACTAACGCCCCCAAGAGTTATGTTTAACCGTTTCAGGCCTGCTGGTGCGAGAGATTAAGTGTGGAACATCACAAAATAAATTTGTGAGATTCATAAAGAAAACGGCCTTCATTTACCTCCGATCCCTGATAGCGTTGGCAGATGTTTCCAGATGTTGCGAGCGAATGATTCTGCAGCTGTGGAAGCTTTCTGTGGAATATTCCCCACATTGTCATTGTGCGTGTTCCTCACTGAGAATGTTGAGAACGTGTTCTCCGGGGGATGCTGGCCTACTTCACAGTCCCTTTTGTCTCCACATGGTCAGGCACAGGCATGCACACAAACATGCATGGATGAGTAGTCCTGACACTGAGGCTAATGCTGTTTCTGTTGACACACATGCCAAGTTTAACAGGTAATCACTGCAGCGTATTGTTTGTGAAAAATGCACATTCCATTAGGCTAAGAGCCTGCAATTGTAGCTGTACGCCGCCTTGCCCTTTTCTTGTCTTTATTTGTATGTCAGCACAAACCAAACTGTCTGACACTTTCCACTTCTGGGGAGAAAATGGAAAATATTTCTGTATAAGCATCACAGCAGGGGTATAAAAGAAGTCAATGATGGATTTGTGTGGGTGGAATTTGTGTGCGAGTGTACCGGCCTGTGTGTCACTTTTGTGTATAAGACTCAGAGGATTCATACAAATTTTCATCACAGTTGCTGTCAGCTGGAAAATAAGTTGAAAAATAACCAAAAGCTACCTGTGTCATTGTTTTTCCCTCCCTTCCCCTCGCCCCCCTGAAAACTGCGGCCACAGCTGAGCAGAGCATTAATCACGTCATTCTCTGCATGTAAAATGCTCAAGGAAGGATTTGGGCTTCAGTCCTCTCAACACCACCCAGTGGTCTCAGAATGGATGGCATCTCCTGGTCCGACCTGAAAAGACGTGTTTAGTCTTGACGGATGTTTTTCATGGTCATGTACCAGTGCATACATCAAACCTGGAAGCAGATTTTGACCTGCCACTGCAGGTATTATGTCTTGATGCATCATGCGTTTCATCAGGTTAGCATAGCTTCCAGAACAATCTAATGACAATTCTGCAATAGAAAGATGTGGTGTCAAAATGTTGTTCTTTTCATACCTTGACACAAAGTTGAATCCAGGCCAACGTCTAATTCTGCTCACGCTGCGCTTCCATCATTAACATGCTAAGTTTTAGCTCCATCAAACCAAACAAGGACATTAAACTCTCACGTCATCCTCATTGTTCCCGTAGCTGATCCGCTTAATTAATCTCCTTGTGCCAGGGCACCGACTTCATCCGCCAAGGCCTTCTTGGATTTGCCTAATTTGCTTAATTAATTAAACAAATGATTTATCCCAGCTCATATTTCAAAGCGTCAGAGAAAGTTCTTTGTGGAATCCACTGAGCCATGTACGGTTTTGTTGTTACTGCGAGATTACTCTGCATGCATTAAAAATAAGTTCAGAGTAGTAGGCGGTTGTCAATCATCCACTTACTGCCGCATTATGTACAGACGGAGAGTGTACTGTACCGACATGAACAGCAGACTCAGCACGCATTTGGATGTGGCTTTAATTATGCAAACAGTGGCTGTGTGTTCCTGGGCTGAAAGACTCACTCTGGAGTGATTTTATTGACATTAATCCAAATTCAGGGAAGTAATTTAATAACAAAAGGATTAGTATTTTACACTCGTACACCTTGCAGTTACAATTCAATGCAATAAGTCTGAAAATGTAACATCTTCTGCGACAACTTGAACCTTTCATTGTCATAAAATTAGTGAAAAGAAGAGCAGTCCAGCATCCATTGGTGGATTCAAGTCACTACGGTTGATGGTGGCTTGCAGAGCGCCTTACTGAAACTGTCTGACAATCTGCAGAAATGACAAACAACATGTGTATCTAGTGTGTATTACAGTGTGTATGACAAATGTCAACATTATTAATTCAATTTTACTAAGGAAAGATCTGGGCTATGTCAATTTTGTCAGCCCTACTTCAATATTTGGAAGTTAAGACATATCTGACCCTCGTTTTATAATGAAATAATAACACATATTCCTGGAGCTGCTAATTTTAAGCAGACTTTTTGCTATGAGAACTTTATCTTTGGATGGTTCCTTTGTCAGATTTATTGCATCGTAGTGAAAAAAGCTAACCTTTTGTTGGATGCTTCTTTAAATCACAGGTATAACAGGCTTGATACACAAGCCTGTTATACAGATCATCTGAAAAAATGTTATTCACCTATATTTGTATTTTTTTTGGTTGCACTTTGAATTCTTTGAACTTTGAAGCAGATATGATTTATGAAGTCAGTTGTTGAAGTTGGTTAAAACAAACAACATGTTTGGCTTTTTGTTGCATTTTTTGAATTGATATAAAAAAAAAGAATTATTGCACTTAACTTGAACCAGATTTTAAAATATACACACTGCCCTGATGGTTATATTCCCATGATGCAAAAATTCAAAACTGAACCCCTTCTTTCAAGCACCAGTCTCTTACTAAACCCAGCTCACTGCCAAAGTTGCCTTCCAAGGCTTTGACCTTGAAGTAGCGGGAGCAACATGTGGTACATTTTGGATGCACACCAAGAA